TGTGCACCTGCCTCCCATATTAATGACCAGGTTATCTATTGGAAAGAGCTAGATATATGGATGTATTGCGCAAGATAGGTACTTTTGTGAAACCTCACTGTGAACTTTCATCCAGGACCAACCTGTACCTAAGGTTCGAAGTTATTTACATTACTTTCGATTCCTTAATACGAAAAGTGTCACAATATTGATAGCGTCTCTATATCTATGTGTTATGGAAGCTTATAACTATCTGGAAATAGAAATATTAGTGAGCCTCCTCCCCCCCCTTTGCATTACAGTTAGAGCCTGTATCTAAAGTGCTTGTTCTGCTTGTCAGTCAGATCTTCAAAACCTTCCAATTGCTCTTCCACGGCTTCAGCACGTAGACCTAGCCGGTCGCGCTCTCTATTGTCGAGCCAGCACCATAGAGTGTACAGCCCCTGGAATACCACTACCGCGCAATAAGTTCCCAGGAGCCCCTTGATTGCTGTTGGATACCGAGGTATCTCCTGAGCTAGGAATAGGTGAGGGCCGATAATACTGCGTCCATTGATATTAGCAGATGCTCTCTTATTATTGTTGAATTAGAACTCACTTTCCGACAACAAAACAGACGAAATAAATCCCAATAACAGTACTCCTCTTCGTGTGTCCAGCTACGTTGAGACCAGGAACTGTCCAGTTCAAGATAATGGGTGATCCAAGCACATTCTCTAACCAGCACATGGCCACAAGGGCGTAGCGGTGTTCAATACCGATCGTAAGGATGCCGATGAGTCCAGCCATACCGGGCAAGCACCCGATGATGATAGAGACACCCACCATATTCGGAAGCTGAGAGATCCATCCTAGCAGAAGGCAGCCGACGACCTCGAAGCCGCCCCCTGGCGCCTGTAGTAAAGAAGCTCTGAGCGCATCGAAATTGAAACCCTTGATGATAGCGGACATAAAATTAGTTACCGCCCCATTGAGGATACCTAGTGCTATTGCGGTCATCCACAATAAGTAGCATTTCCCATCGAACAACGCCTCCTTAATTTGATACGGTCTAATAGTCGCATCCTTGAGACCGATCTGATTATTGGAGACCCGCCAGACAGCGACAACCCTTTCGTATTCTGTTAACATCTTTGCGTTGTGTGGTCCGTCGGGGAGATAGAGTAAGATAACAAAACCCCACACGAAGGTGAGAGCGCCAACTATCTACATATATCTAGATTAGCCTTTGGTGCAGAGACATGAAATAGAACACCTTACCAGAAATATCAGCTTCCATTGAGCTATAGATAGACCTCCAGCAACACCCGAAGCGTATGCCAAAAGTGCTCCTAGGATGTTCGAGACACCATTCGTACACAGCCATATAGAACTGCGTAGTGTCTGTTCTTTCCGGGTCCAGAGCATCGAAGTCAGGATGACCCAGGCGGGTGAGATGCAGGCTTCAAGCATGCCCAGAAAGAATCGAATGGCAAAGAAGCCGCTGAAGTTGAACACTGTGGCTTGAAGCATACAGACGGCTCCCCAAACGAACAACATGCCACCAACAAGTTTCCCAATAGCAACGCGTTGCAGTAACATGTTCCACGGCCATGCTCCACCTTAATGGCCGAGATTAGTCCCCATTCAGTATATCGGTTCACGAGAAAGGTCACGTACAGAGCCAACCAAAGTACAAGGCGGAGGCGACCCAGGAGTAGTCATCACCCGTCATTTTCGTATCCTGCTGCAACCCATACGCATTCGAGTAGTTCAAACTACAGAAGATCAGTATCAGAGCTCCGTATTAACAAATCATAGAGCGAACCGTACGTCTGCTTATCGAGAAACGACAACATGTACGTAGTCATCATCTTTACCAATAATTGGTTAGAAACAGATACTATAAATATCGATCTTGGTGTCATACCATTGGAAGCACCAACAGATCCAGCTTCCATCGAACTTTGATTGCATCCGCTTCAAGTTGAGCTCGGTCATATTGAAGAGATTGCTGTAACATATCCTTCCCAAGCTCGTTGAGATCATTGCGTCGGTGGATTAGGCGCTGGAATGCATTTTGCTTTGGTAGGACGAAGCCAGTTCCATTCTCAGTGTCAACTGGGCTCTCAGCAATCGGGATGTCCTTCTTCTCAGACATTTTCGCAGTTATGTTAAGATCAAATTTTGAAAGAAACAAATTGGTTTCGAGTTTGAGAAACACCAAAGAGCATGTTAAATGCTACTACTCCTCACTATACTAGTACCACTGAGATGTAATAGCCACAACCTGTTCTACCGAGGATCCTGATATCTGGTATGCATGATAAGATCCCCGCTATAGCGCTCAGGCGTGACGTCGCCACGGACGGTTATCAATTCCGCCTGGACGGATTCATACCGGGGCCCTTACACTATTATCGTACGTTACTCACCGAAGGATTTTAGATGCCAATAGATCGTTTCAAACTAAACACTAAGCATAGAAGTTTGAATCCAAAGATAAAGGCAATAGGCGAGGATGATAATTCACCAGATAGGCGGTACCCGATCGCAAGAGCCAAGACCGCCCCATGCATCTCCCTATCGAATGCAACGATAAGGTAGGTGGGAGTGAAACTGGTTATAGGAGCAGGTCTTGGAGTAGATTATCAGATAATCTAGCATATAGTGGATCCAGTGATATAGGAATCCAATTATACAAAGAGTTAGGTAGTGAGTCTCCTCATCTCCAACCCTTCGGATATCGACGCCGCTTTCTACCCCACTCCGACAGGATTCGGGTATGGTTGTTCAAGGGCTACATTGCATGCTCCGATGAGGGGCCGTGGCCTACATGTAAGTATGTATTTGAGAATACCTCTTCTTTGATACTCCCCATGGGATACCGGTTCAACATTAGATACACAGATATTCAAGATGGGTGACAACAACGAGTCAGCGACCAAGAAGTCCTGGAAAGAACTCCAGGCAGCAAAGAAGGCAGAACAGGACGCAAGAATACCAGCAGAATGGAAGTTGAAGAAAGAAGATTTTCCTCCGGAGGATACAGTCGACCTTCGATCTTTTGTCAATACATGCCAAATATTGTCTCCGGCCGAGCTGGCAATTACTAGCGACGAGTATGATGCAACTTCGCTGGCCGCTGCCATTGCTGAGGGTAGATTCACGGCCTTGGAGGTTGTGACAGCCTTTTGCAAACGCGCTGCAATAGGCCATCAGCTCTGCAACATGCTAACAGAGGTCATGTTTGCCGACGCAATAGAGAGGGCCAAGGAACTCGACAATATCTATAAGAGCACCGGCAAGGTGGTCGGCCCACTGCATGGAGTTCCCATGACTTTCAAGGAGTGCTTTCACTTCAAGGGGTATGACTCGACCAACGGGTATATGTCTCGAGTCTTTCAACCGGCCGACCGTACGTCGCCGCTGCCGGAACTCCTACAAGCTGCTGGGGCAGTCGTCATTTCAAAGACAAACGTCCCTCAGACAATGCTTGTTGCGGAATCCGACAACAATGTGTTCGGACGCACCAAGAACCCCGTGAACTCCCGTCTGACTTCTGGTGGAAGTAGTGGCGGTGAAGGCGCAAGTCAAGCCTTCCGATGCAGTGCGCTGGGTGTTGGAACTGATGTCGGCGGGTCAATACGAATACCGTCAGCTTGCAACGGCGTCTATGGATACAAGCCAAGCTTCGGCATCATTCCCATGATCGGGTATTCTTATTCGGGTTGGACAGGTTCCAACACGGGCATACCCGCCGTTACCGGTCCTCTAGGGCACTCGGTACGAGACCTTGACCTTTTCGCCCGCATAGTCAGAGCCGCGCAGCCTTGGAAATTTGATCCCGCTGTCATTCCGAATATCATGGAATTCGTTCCAGAGGCCCCGCGGAAGCCCGTCGTCGGCGTCATCTACGCATCCGGACTTACGCCACACCCGCCAGTCCGCCGGGCCTTGCGAGAAGCCGTGTCCAAGCTCGCAGCTGCCGGGTTCGAGATCAGGGACTTCAATCCGCCCGACTTCATCGGCATTCGCGACATTTCGGAGCAGTTGTTCACGCTAGACGGCCTGTCCTACCCGAAGCAGGAGCTCGCGAAGTCGGGCGAGCCCGTCGTGCCGAGCGTGAAGAAGATCGGCTTCTGGGACATCCCGCCGAAGACCCAGGAGGAGGCGTGGCAGTGGAATACGAAGAAGGGACAGGTCCAGAAGGACATGTTGGACGAGTGGCAGAGAGTAGGCTGCGATGTTGTCCTCGCGCCGGTCGGTCCGCATACGGCCGTACTGCCAGGCGATTGGACGAGTGATATTTACACGGTGGCTTGGAACGTGTGCGATGTAAGACATCCCATGCGCGCCTCGTTGTAGTCATTGATTGATTGATACGAGATGTTCTAACTCTGCTTTTTTTTAGTATCCCGCTGTCGTCGTACCTTTCACTCACGTCGACCCGGTTCTCGATCCCGTGGATGCCGAGTTCAAGCCTATGCATACGGCCGATCAGAAGAATCAGGATATGTGTATGTGCAGGACTCCCTAGTATATGGCGTTAGGATCTAGTGGCTAACATGTCTTTCCAGATGATCCGGAACTTTTCAAAGGCGCGCCTGTGGCTTTGCAGATAGTCGGTCCGAGACTAGGGGATAAGCAGCTGCTGAAGGACGTCGAACTTATCGACAGTGTGTTGAACGGTGCTATTTAGAATCATTATTGTTGGTGGCTTGAACTATCTTGTTGTTAATATCACTCGCTAGATGGTGCCTGTCCCTTCAAATCCCCAACTGCGATGCCTTACCACACGCTCTACGTAGTTATTAACACGAGGCATCCAAAATGAGAGAATTAAATCAAATGAGAAGGGAAACAACGAATCTAGTTGACTAAATATTATTAATGTACGTCCGTATCTTTTGAGAAAAGACGGTTAAGGCCCGCGGTTATTATGGGCCGGTAGGATGTTAGCACCCGCTTCTGTGATATAACGACCAATAGCTGCTAATGTTGCCACTTGTCCCTCGCTCTAGAGTCCACTCTGGAGTATCCCCTTGGTGGTGTAGTTGGTTATCGCGTTCGGCTGTAATTGAAATATCTGATCTAGATATGATTGTATACCGAAATGTCGCCGGTTCGATTCCGGCCCGAGGGATCATTATTCATTTTCTCTTTTTTCTTCATTATCACTAAGGTTGTGTGTGTGAATGAGAAGCTGAGATATGGGGCTGACATTAGGGCTAAGCTTAAACTTTTTAGTGAAAAGCACAGCGCACTATTATACGTCCTAGGGCTAGCTAACTGTACGGTATTATGCAGGGATACATAAGTCAACGTTAATACGAATAAATGTGCGCTAGGACGTAGGTAGCCATGACGTGTCTGAGGCTCAGTGTCCGTTCGATATTCGATTACCTCCAATGAGCCTCTCTATACATCTTACTTCTAGAACATATTGCTTGCTAGTTAGATGTTGTTATGTCTTGGGTGATACCCAACAGCCGCTTTAACCAACAAAATATCGCCTATACGATGGGCCTAACTAATGATCTCATATTAATCATGGCCCAAACTGCAAGGAGAAAAAACTAAAACCATAAACATTATGAGGATTTCCAGCTAGATCACGAGATTAATAACTCAAAGCGGATCTTAAGTCTATAGTTACGCACGAGGCACATGTTTAGATGCTTGCAACGTATCCTCGAGTCCTACCTGACAAGACCGCTTTGACGCAGGGCGACGTCCAGCTCGTAAGGCAATGAAGAAGAACAAGCTGATGATGGCCAGTCTAGATGCATCTCGCCAAGTGGTGCCCGCCAACAGATACTCGTTCAGGCCATGTATTGACGCACAAGATGCAGCTTGCATTTAGCCGGGGCCGATTCCCGAGGCCCCGTACCTCGACAGCAGCTTCCGGCCCCTTGCGTAAGGTAGAAGCTTCGTATTCTCAATCCAGGGAATCGGGAAGGCATGGGAGCTCTATTTTTATCTGGTGCTACTCTGTAGCTTAACGTTACCTGGTGGGCTGATGAACTTTTCGAGTGTTTAGGCTGGCTCTCCAATATACTCGAGCTCAATCTGTCCAAGGTGATATTTAAACGGGAGCCTGCATCTACTCAGCCATTCCCGCTAGATTAACGACAACTTTCAATTTAAAGTGTCACACCTACCTCTCTAAGTAAATACAGCAAGATCATACGCATCTCCGAAAACCCCCGGTTCAGATACGCAAAGATGCAACTCTCCGGACCCCTCGCAACCCTCGCGGTCTCTCTATGCATGACCGGGCTCGCAGCCTCCTACGACACCACCCCGTTCATCGGACCCCTCAAACCCTGGAAAGTCAACAGCTTGCGAATCACGGCCCCCGCCCAGGGCGCCTCGGGCACCGTCGACATCGAGCTCGCCATCGAGAACCCGAACACGGTGTCCGCGGGCCCGGCCCCCCACGCCGCCGGCGGAGGATACCTCCCGTTCAACCCGAGTGCGGCGAACTGCAGCGCCGTGCAGGACGGTGCGGACCCGGGCGTCGCGCACGATACCTGCGTCGAGACCAGCGAGCTCTCGTACGGCGTGTGGAGCGTCGAGGTGGCTGCGGCCCGCATCGACCCTACGAACCTGGACCTCGCGTTCACGCTGAACTATAATGTTAGCCGCTGGGGCCAGCAGCTGTGGAAGGTGTACGACGGCACGGGGCATTTTGCTATCGGGACCAACTTGGCGGATGCCGTGTGCGATGGGGCGAGCGGGACTTGCGTGTACGAGCTCAAGGCGGATGCTACGCCTGTGTTGATCCCGCCGACGATGACGGAGTGTCAGGGGACTTGCTCGTTGCCTTCGGGGAGCTAGGGTAGGACGGTTGGTTTATGATGATACGAATGGTATGACTGAATGGGGATGAGATTAGAGGGCTCATGTTAGTTTCGTATGTTGGGTTTGGGCATTTTATTTACAGCACTCTCCTTATAAGTTCTGGACGGAATCTGAAAACCCCCTTAGTATATTTAGATTAGAATGGTGGGAGGTGAACTTGGGGTGGTTTCACGAATAGGGGATGGATAGAGCGTCTCTAATTCCCACGGGCTCGATTTTTTCAAGAGGCCAAGACGTTAGTTATTGCCTGTTATTAATAGACATATATTACATTTTGGCATGTCCAATAAATCTACGTTTTCCAAAAATTCTTGAATATGTCATACCCAGGTTTCTTTAACCTTGAAATGGGATCATATGAGACTCTTTAGAGAACTTCATAGTCATCCAAGAAGCCCAATCACAGAAACGATACCCGGATACTTTATGTAAGTTACTTAGACGTCGGCTTAACTACACATAAATTTCCCGGCGTATGTACCTTTTATGAAATCTGAGCACATATTGCCAAGTGATAGGGTATAAAGGAGTAATAAACCAGAAGAAATAGCCCTTCTTGGAAGCATTCCAGTGTGAGAGAAAAGCCCCTTCTCCTATAGGCCGAAACTCTAAAGCGTACCTTTGATGTACATCTTCCTGGTCTATATTACTTCCTATTTTTAGCATGGCTCATCAGCGAGCCCGGGTCCTCCTGGATGACGCATGATATTCCGGGTAAGCAAAAGCATGGACGTATCTGGCCCATGGCTCTGGGATATAGATTGACGGCGCTTCGAATTTTGAATCTACATAAAAGTATCAACAATACCAAGGAATGAATCATCAATTCCGAATACTCATACTACATGGCCAGAGAGCTTGGCCCAATATCCTTTTGGAGTCTTCTTGCTTATTTCTATACCTATAGCTAAGCAGTACCATCATAAGGTAGTACATGGAAATTCCGGATTCGAGAAAGCTCGCCTCCCAACATTGTCCATCACGGGATACGCTTCTATATTAAGGAACCAGGGTAACTAACCTTGATATATACTTTAAAGCATCAGTCTATGCATGGAGCGCCTCCCTATATCATATTGAACTAGATATTAATTATCTATGCATACTAATCATATCCCGCTGAACTCATAGGGCTGGTGAACTTTCCAGTTCCTACCAAAAGTACCTACTCGTGTAGCTCATTCCATCACGACAATATAACAGTTATGTTGGAAACATGTCGGTTAAACTGGACCTTTCTCTTGAGAATTTTTATTTAATAGCTTCCTAAATAGGTATGGACAGCGTGGGATGGCTGGCTCTTCGTTAAAGGCCCAGAGGGGATTCACCTCAGAACGAACACTAGAAACTTTGAAAAATAAACACATTTATTTCTCCTTAGCTGGAAATTTGGGACTAACTAATTCTGCATGAATCTTTGGGTATTTGTCGCTTCCATTGGACATCGTAGAGCCTAGGACCTCACTGTCGTAAAAGCATTCTAGCATGTAAATGGATTGAGATCCCTCGTTTGATTGCTTGTTGGCAATGGAATAGGTCCCTAAACTATCGTACGTATCTTCTTGATCCAATATCACTTGTAATATATTGAATACTTGTCTTCAGTCACGCATGCCAATTGAATATCAGGGCATTCTAAGGTTCGTATAACTCACATAGCCTGAACAGCACGAATCATGTCCGGGTCACAAGCTCGCTGAGACAATTTCTACATTGTATAGATATTAATAATAATCGTCTCATAATATTGTATCCAAAATTCCCGAACTAGATTTACTTGCCGACACTCCAGAGCTACTTGATGGTGTCTCGCGTAGGTCAACAAAGTAATATTGAGGGCAAGGGATTTAACCTAAGCAGAGTAATTCTTCAAAACTTACAACAATCGGCAAGGACATCAGAGACATGAGGGAATAACCTGTTTAACTGTCAATATCGAAGCAATCGTGCGTAAGCTACGTCTTTTCGATGCGGAGACGCGTATTATTATTATCCAAGGACGCACCCCGGTGGACTACCGACAGCTCTGGAATAGGGTCGGTGAGCCTTATATCACGTAAGACGTTGCAATGGAGCTTATACCCGGACCGTTAGTTCGTTATATACACGGCCTGGGAAAATCCGGGAAATAAGAACTGCATCCGGTGGGTGGCACGACATACGCGCGGTAAGGGAAGTTTGGGGCGGCACAGCGTCTGGCGGCTACCCTAACCACAGGATAACCCGGACTGCTAACGACGTAATTAAATTGAAAATAAAAACACCCAAGCTGGTTGATATCAGGCTATAGGGGGAAGAAACGGGATTCTGAGAGAGGATAAACCAAAGTGATAGAACGGCGAAATCGATGTTACCTAAGACACAAGTAACATGAAAGTATTCTCACACGGGTGCGCTTACCTTTCAAATGGACATGGAACCTTAACATTCATGTTGTGGACGGACAAAACTTTATCGTACGGAATCGGATTTACTTACCAATTCCATCGCATCCTTCCAATTTCAGTCATCCGAGTTCCTTAGGTAAGGTCGACTTATTAATCTGCAACATGCAAGTCGCACGTGGTCAAATTTTATTCCCTTTTTTTTGGGCGGCAAAATCGCATTGGAAATGACAAGAAGTCGTTTGAAACATCTGCCGAAATCACATACCCATCTTGAATTGTCCCCACCTCGCGAACATGTCGATGGCTCGATTAGGTTAATGGCTGAGAGCCACTTTTTGGTTCCTTTCGTCATTCGAATTCGGCAGTTTTCCTGCCCCATTAGGCCCCCATTATGCTACACTATCGTCACCAATGCTAGATTCCCAAACGCCTGGTCTTCACTACTAGATCTTTTGTGGTGTGGTCTAGATCCGGTCCGACTTGTAGTTGTGGTGGCCTATACCACACCCAACTATATAGCGGTACACCTACGGAGACACCTGGGACAGAATTAGAAACCAGTTAGAAATTTGGGTTGACAAACAATGAAATCCTCTTTGGTGATACGACCGTCTAAATCCCTATCATTCCATAGGCTATCTGCATCACATACATGTGCCGAAACTTGGTGTCAAATCCGACACTACCACCGTCACCTCTGAGCTAATGGACGATCCTTAGTTCGTCATAGATGAGAGCCGCATGGACCCCGAGTGCTTACTTACCACGCCGCCATCCCGGATGAGGCTGCTGAATTCCATACGTGGACATCGTATTTAGGTCAAAAGAACATCGCAGGGGATAAACTATACGCCACGGTACTTGATTCAGGTTCCCGAGAGGGCTACCGTGT